TGCAGGGGGGTCACACAGTGTCGGGTAGTCTTCGTTCCTCTGGGGTCTCACAGTCTTCGCTCCTCTGGAGTTCTGTGGTAGGTGGCTGGCTGTTGTTCTTTCCGGGTCTCTTCCAGGTCTCTCTCGCGGTGGAACCCTGTCTGGCGGTGGCGTTCTCCCGTCTGGCAGCAGCGTTCTCCCGTCTGGGGGCCTCGCTCTCACGCTGCTGCGGCGCTCTTGCATGGCGTCCTCGCTCTCGCGCGGCGTCCTCGCTCTTGCCGCAACACATCTTTTGATTTCTTGACTTCTGCTACCATGGGTGATTATGTTTCCAAAGAAAAAGGAAATTATTGACAGCTTCAGTCTTTTCTCCATTTGTCATGATGTTGTCTATTGGTCCAGTGGTGGGAATGTGTGTCTTCTTGATGTTGACATATAATGTATATTGAAGACTATATTACTTCCTGTAAGGGAGCTCTGGTGGCCTAGTGGCAAGAAGCTGCACTGTAATCTCAAAGGTGTGTGGTTCGAACCCACCAGATGCTCTGCAAGAGGATGGGTAATCTCCTCCTGTGCCAGTCAGATGTGACTTGACAGTACACAAGAAAAGAGAAAAAAGAGTATAGTAAATCGTCTCCTGAAATGTTTCACAGTTGACCGGTTCTTTTTTGTACAAAGATACTCCTTTTTGGTACAATGGTATTCCATTCCATCTCCTTTTGATGCTTTCTGCATCGTGAAAGATTTTATCCATCAAATCCTTTTGTACTGCAACTCAAAGCTTGAATTTGCTCTTCAGTAATTTCTTTAATAAATGCAGTTTGTTCTTCCTTCCTGGCTTTCAAATTCCAGCTCTTTGACTACCTCATGGTAATACTTTGCTTTGTTTTCTCATGCTGCCTTTTGAAATCTTCTGTTCATCCCTCTTACACCTCAGCATTTCTGCCTTTTGTTTTGGCTTCTTTATGTTCTAGTGCAAATTCCAGAGTCTCTTCTAACATCCATCTTAGTCTTTGCTCTCTCTCCTGTTCTCTATTTACCTTTTGCTTTCTTCATGGATGCTACCCTTCCACAATTTATCTGGTCTTTGGTTACTAGTGTTCAATGCATCAAATCTATTCCTGAGATGGTTTTTAAATTCAGTTTGGATAGACTCAAGGTTGTATCTTGGTTCTCATAGACATATTTTCATTTTCTTCGCCTTCAATTTGAACTTGCAAATGAACAGTTGATCATCTGTTCCATTCTCTGCAGCTGGCCTTATTTTGACTGTTGATATTGAGCTTCTCCATATATTTTTTTTCCACAAACACAGTTAACCTGATTCCTGTGAAGTCCATCAGATAGGATTCACATGCACAGTCACTGTTTAAGTTTTTTTAAAAAACAAAGGTATTTGCAATGAATATATCACTGATTGTATAAAATTCTATCATGTGATCTCCAGCCTCATTTCTGTTAAGTCCATATTTTCCAACTACCAGTCTTTATTCTTTGTTTCCAACTTTTGCATTCCAGTCACCAATTATTATTAATGCATCTTGTTTACATGTTTATATAACTCCAGGCAACAAAAGTTAGTGGTTGTTGTTGTTATGTGCCGTTGTGACTCATAGTGACACTACGTACAGCAGCTCTGAATTCTGCTCTGTCCTGAGCCAGTCTTACTAATTTCGACACACCAACACTATTGCCCCAGTTAGTGTATCAATCCATCTCATTGGGGTCTTCTCTCCTGCACTGTCCCTCCACCTTTCTAAGCATGATGTCCTTCTGCAAGGACCAGTCTCTCCTGGCCACATGCCCAAAGTACGTGAGACAGAGCTTCAAAATCCTAGCCTCCAAGGAGAAACCTGATTTGACACTCTCCAAGACAGATTTATTTGTTTTCTTGACTCTTCTCCAGCACCACAGCTCAAAGGCATTGATTCTTCTTCTATCATCCTTTGTTACTGTCCAGCTTTCTGACGCACAGCAAGTAATTGTGAAGACCATGGCCTGGATTAGGTACATCTTAGTCTCCAAACTAGACATGGTTGCTTTTCAGCAATCTGGAGGCTTTCAGCAGATTTTCCCAATGCAATTAATTTGTCTTTTGATTTCCTGACTACTCGTGTTAAAAGTATTGATTGTGGAGCCAAGCAACCTGTAATTGTTAACAACCTTAATCTCTTCCTCTATCATGGTGCTGCAAATTGGCCCAGTGTTGACAATCTTTGTCTTCTTCATGTTGAACTTAATTCACATTTAAGACTATAGTCCTTGACCTTCTGCAGCAAGCACTTTAGGTCTTCTTCAGTTTCAGCAAGATTGTGTCATCTGTATAACATAGGTTGTTGATGAGTCTTCCTCCAATCCTGACACCACATTCCTCCTCATAAAATCCTGCTTCCCAAATGATCTGTTCTGCATATAGATTGAAAAGGTATGGAGACAAGATGCATCCCTGATGCACTCCCTTCCTGATTTTGAACCATGCAGTGTTTCCCTGCTTTGTTCTGAGGACTGCTTCTTGGCCCAAGTATGTTGTTATTGTTATGTGCCTGAGTCACTTGCAACTCATTGCGACACTATGTACAACAGCCCTAAACCCTGCTCTATCCTGTGCCAATCGCACTGTCTCTGACACACCCATCCCGATGCGCACTCCCTCCACCCAAGTGCAGGTTTTGTATAAGCACAATCAAGTGTTCTAGGATTCACTTGATCTGAAATCACCCTATAATCTTCTTCATCAGGTAATGCCCATTCTCCCAGAAGTGGTCAGCTTCCTTAACATACAGCTTTTGGAGCAGGACATTCTGTACCAAGCCCGCAGGCCAAATAAACACCACCACCTATCAGATCTAGAAGAGACCTAGAGGCCCTCAGGCCAAATAAACACCACCACAATATCAGATCTAGAAGAGACCTATCAGGACCTTGGAAATTATCACACTTTGCAGCAGTGTAAACAGAGACACTAAGTCAAAAAACTTAGCAGAACTTCAGTGGCAAGAATCTTCCTTCTGTCTCTAACAAATCTTTCCCTGAAGTTGGGACATGAAATTTGGACTTACATCCTCCTAAGCACGTGACAGACAACAGTATGAGAGACCTGTGTGGTGTAAGACATCACACAAATGCCTTGTGGACTAAGAAAAGTTGGAAGAGAGCTCAATCTCCTCATCTTTGGCTTTAGTGGTTGGTGTGTATATTTGAGTAACAGGTCTTCCTTGTACGTGTATGTGTTTGGATAGTATCTTATTACTCATAGTCTGGTACTTCAGGGAAGATCTTGAATTGGTCTTTTTGATGATAAATTCTCAACATCATTCTTCTTCAGTTTCCTATTCCCAGCATAATAGATCATATGATTGTTGTTATTGTTGTTAGGTACCATCGAGTCATAGGCAACTCATAGCGACCCTATTAACGAAAGTCCTGAACACCTGTATAACTTTCTTCATTACTCCAAGTTCACAGGGTTTCTAGAGGCAAGCTATTTCAGAAGTGGATGCCATCCTGCTTCCAAGCTGTTTTAATCTGGGAGGTCCACCAACACTGTCTGCCAGGGGTAACCATTATCACATTTGACACATCAGTGTCACAGTGTTCGGCATCACAGCACCCACGAGTTACCTCTGTATAGAAAAAGGACAGACCAGTGCTATAAGACCTAGAAGAATGTTTGACCAAAAACAATTAAAACCAGGCCTGAGCGACACAGATTAAAATCACCCACCTTTGGCTTGGTAGCATCATTTTCTGTCCACAAGGCCAAATGAGGTCTCTCTATGTTGTTGTTAAGTGCTGGCAAGTTGGATGATCAAATGATTATCTGATTCAAAATGGCCAATATCAGTCAGTCTCAATAATGATAGGGCAAGTTTTTGGTCTGTTGCTTATAAGGTCTCCATGTGTTAGGGTGACTCAATGGCACTTAACAACCACAACCACCCACTGCTGTCAAAATTATTAATTTATACAAACAAGAAAGTTCCTTTTTAAAAAAGTTACTATCCTTCACATGTGTAATGGGTGAAAAACCGATCCAGGCAGGATGGAGAACCAACACAGCTATGCATTAGTTCTGACTCTACAGGAATGACTGACTTTTTTGACTATGCAATGATGTGGTCATCTCCCAGGATACAATTTGAGATGTGACCAGTCAATCATTTGCTGTGAAATTAGGATCCCAAATCACAGGCCTAATCTCTTGAGGAGTTTTCCTGCAGTATGGATTGCATTGCCTTTTATCTTTCAAAGAACAAAAGAAGAGAGAAATGAGCAGTGAAGGAGTAACCAGAAAATCAGTTAACAGAGCATATTCTCTTGAACCCTGAGTCTCACAGTGAACCTGCCAGATCCAAGGGGAGACTGATGCCAAGACACCTGGAGTGGGCCTACAGAAGTGGAGAGGAAGCAG